CAGCCTCCCTCGGGCCTGCGGCGCCTGAACCCGCAGAGATGAGCGGTGGGTGTGGTTAGCTGTTACCCCGCAACTCCAAAGCAGTCTGTGTGTGGGATGCTGCCGTCGTGCCCACTGCACAGATAAGGAAACTGAGACTTGGTGACCAAGGTCACACGCTCAGAAACGGGCAGAGCCCTAGCCAGGGACCTTAAGGGAAGGTTTGTGCTGTTTGTACGTGCCGATTGGTGCTCTCTCCAGCGCCCGCCCTCCTTCCAGTGGAGGTAGAGGGGCGAGCTAATTCGAAATCTGAAGAGCTACGCTTTTCGCTTGGGGGAACTCAGAATTATCCCTTCAGCAGCCGGTCCTCCTTTTTGTACTACGTCCGTTCCTCTTACCTTTGAACTTCTTCTAAATCCAAGCTTTAGTTACATTAATGGCTAGGCTGCCTGAAAGCTGCACGGGTCATTCAGTTTTCCTAGCCCTTATAGTAGTAGAGATTTTTCTCATACCCATTTTAAAGATAAAGCAACTGGAGGCCCAGGGAGGGTGCACACAGTAATGTAAGTCAACACACATTCCAGAACCCCCTTTCCCGCAGCCAGGATTCAAACATCAGCCTTGTGCCTTGGGACCATCTTTTATTCCATGCCCTTACAAGGTAGTCCTAGGTTGTGTGGGGTGGGGGGAGGGTCTGAGCAGGCTATGATTCCATAGCTGTGGGCCCTTGGCTCCAGGACTGGAGCTTTTGGTGTAGCCACAGTTGATAGGAATAATTGTCCCTCCCCTTTTCCCTGTTTCCCCTCCCCCTCCTTCCTCTGTTTCTTCTCCCCTTTCCTTCTCTTCCTGGGCGGTTCTGACCAAGCTGTCCGGGGACAACTTCTGTCCTCCATCCTGAGAGGAGACCCCCCTCAAGAAAAGTGATATTAGTAAGGGAAAAAAGGTAACTAATTCTCTCCTGTGCCCTTTATTTCTCTGGCACTTCTTAACCAGAAATGGGGGTAGGAGATGGAATGAGTTAAGAATTAAAAACTTTATAAGACTGCCAGTGTAGGAGTATGAAAGTCCATCTTTGTAAGGAGCAGCCTCATGTCTTAGATGAAACTGAAGTGGGTTTGACATTTGAAGAAGCTGTGATTGTATGGCATCTGAGTCTGGGGAGGCGTCTAGTGGAAGAAAGTACATCACTTTGGTCATTTTTGATCAAGCTGAGAAGGGTAACCATTGCTTACTTACAGTGCCAGGCTGAGTAGCCCGCTCCTTGAATTGCCACAGCCAACTAGGGCAGAGACAAGGACTCCGCTGCTGAGGAGGTACATTCTGCTGTAGTGCCTGTCCATCCCAGTTTTCAAGTAGCCACATTAGGGTGCTTGGCTACATCTGTCCCACTCCCAAGTTTATGCCCTTGATCTTGGACTGGCCATGTTTTGGTGCTGTTAAGGACTGGACACTATCATGTAGGCAGAAACTCGTTTTGTTGTGTCTTTTGGTAAAATGTTCCCACACAGCATGTGTGGAGCCTTTTCCTAAACCAGCAGATGGTTGTGGGACCCAGAACACCATCAGGGCTTCCAGTGCCTTCTCAAGTCTGTGTTTTCCTTGCGGGTGGCACCTACCCACACATTCCCAGAACAGCAACAGGACCCTGGCATGCATGGGGATGAAAGCTTTCTTTTTTAAAAAATTTCATTTTGATAAGCCTTACAAAGACGCCTTAGTGAGAAGCCAGCTCTGCTTCATGCTCACAGAATAGGCTGTTCTCTGGCCGGCGGCTTTGTTCCCATGGGTCTTTGCCACCAGCCTCCCAGGAAGAATCTGTTTGAGACCTGTGGGGGCGTGGGAGGGATCGGATAGGAGTGTGAGATGTCATCGGTGTGTTTAAGGCTTTAAGGAATGCTAACTGAAGGGAGGTCGGCAAAGGCAGGATGCCCACTGGGCTCCAAGAAGGGAGAAGAAATTCTTGCGAAAGTATTACTCCCACTTCTCATCTTTTTTTTTTTTCTTTTTTTTCCCCCCTCTCTACCCCAGTAATCCCGTTAGAGATTTTATTTTTGCTTCTTCCAACTGGTGGAAGTCGCCTGCATGCCTACCTCTCTATCCCCTACCTGCAACCACCAACTCCCAATCCCCAACCCCTACACCAGCGCCAGGTCTTGGTCTCCTTTTGAGTATCTGGTTCAGATTGATGTGACTGATTATAGTTTCTGAAGGGGAGGATCTGACTGACCCAAGTTGGGGTCACGTGAACACTTGATCCATTCTGCTCTGGCCAGGTGTCAATTACTGCTGATTTGAGTGGGGGTCCAAAAAAGGACAGTGAAGGTAAGGTGGTGAGAATACCCCTGTAGTCACCAGAGCATAGCACAGACTGACTTTTACACCCAGGATGTTTTAATGCCATTAGTGGCTGCCATTAGTAGCCTTGATGCCACTTTCAAGGCCGTCTCTGGTGCTTTCCATGACCTCTTACAGCAGAGCATGAGCAAGGCCTGTACCACCTCTTTGTGATGCCAGAGGAAAAATAAAGACTTTACTGGCAGCAGCTAAGAGCTGTAGGAGCATGACAAGCCTTGAGGTGGGAGGGAGGAGGTGGGAAGGTAACCTGCCGATTAAGTGCCTTGCAGATGGAGTAGATTTTCATGGTCTGCTCCCTGCCTACAAGAGCTTCATCATCTGTATAGTTGAGCTTGCTGTGGTACACAGCTAGGTAGGTTTATGTCCCTTTTACTTACACCAGCAGACATGTGCTTACCATTGTGAGAGCAACCTCAAGTGGATTGAAGGAATTCTTTTTTTAGCCTCTTGAAAAGTAACTAAACGGCTTGTACTTGGGATCAGACTTAAGTGATCATGGATCTGGCCTCCTGATCACGAGTAGCCAAGAGCTCCTTAGCCTCCTCTCTTCAGAGTCCATCAGTGTGGCTGCTCTCCTGCAGCCCCTTCAAGCCCCGTGCTTTTCTTTAGCCACCATCTCCACTCTCCTGTCCTAGTTCATGCTGTCCTCCACTGGCTGTTTCTTGGTTAGCCAGTGATCTAATCTTGAAGAAGGCTTGCTTCCAGCAGAGATGCTTCAGATGGCTTCTCCCTGATGTTTGTGCAAGGCTGTGAAGGAGCCTTTTTCCTTCCTGCAGCAGTAAGCCAGGTACTAGACATGGCCAGCGAACTAAATACACCATTTAGAGATTTTATTTTTGCTTCTTCCAACTGGTGGAAGTCGCCTGCATGCCTACCTCTCTATCTGGTGGGGTTTAGCCCATGGCCTGGAGACTAGCATGGCAGCGTGACCTAGCAAGTGGAGAGGCACCATGGAAAGAGAAGCAGGGAGGAAAGGGCACTTCCCTTCAATGAGAGAAGTTGGAGAAGCTCTCTGACATAAGGACATCTCACCATCAATCAAAGGAAGGTAGAGAATGGGCCTGTAGCCATGGTGTAAGGAAGGGCCCAAGGCTGGGGAAAGTTGGTGTGAGAGGGGAACATGATAGGCTATAAGAGAGGGGAAAATACAACCTAGTAGGCTGTTAGGAGAACGTTGGATTTTCCTCTGATAGGGGAGAGCCATTGGAAGGTCTTAAATTGACTTGTATTTTAATCCTCTTCCTTCTGGCTCCTGTATGGATAGTTGACTGTGGGGAGTGAGGGAAAAAAGCAGACCCTGGTTGTATCCCAAGTGTTAGAATATGCCAGGCCAGGCCATGGGCAGAAGTGGTGCCAGATGAACAGTGATCCCCAAAAGAGACGATGGTCCTTTACTGAGTTCACATGTTGCCTCTATTGTGTACCACACTGTGAGAACTTAAGCAATTTGTCCCACTTTTCTCAGCTTCTGTGAGGGTAATAGCACCTGTTTTGAGGAGTACCTGGTTTGAGCTAGGGGTGACATGCGGTGTTTTTACACATACTATTACTCAGGCCCCATGTGTGTCCCAGGTGTGGAGTGATGTGTCCACCCTGTCCTTTATATCTGTACTGGGAAAAAGGCAGAACCAAGGGATTGATATTAAAGCTTCCTAGATGGCCCAGACTTGCTACAGCTTGAGATCTGTGCAGCTGGCAGGGACTAGGACCTAATAATAATCTTCCTAATTCATTCATAGGGAAGTAGGCACCTCAAAAGGGTGATGGTGACTCAGGGTTCATCTGAAAACATTGTCCCTGGATGTTTAGTCCAAGAAAGCTGGAGCTGTTCTTTTATGTTTGGGAGCCAAGGGAGGTTTGTTAGTTGTAGTTGTGGCCATCACTGTGTGAGATGGTCCAGGGTAGGCCTATATGAGCTTCACTGTGAGAGCAAGTTGTAGTATTAGTCTTGTTTCTTCTACTTTCCATAGCAAAGTAAGCTGTTAACATTGTGAAGCTCAGCCTTGCTGTGGAAACATTACTTTGCATTGGGATTGTGCTCGCCAAGATACACAGTCACATAGATGCCCTCCTACTCTTGCACAGGTAGTAGGAGGGGAAAGCCCTGTTAAATGAACCAAAGGTTCCATAGCATTCTTGATGTGGAAGTTGTCAAAGAAAGAAAAATGAAAGTAAAACAACAAATACCCATGTGCTACCACCTAGATGCCACAGTGGTTGGTATTTTGTCATATGTACAGTTTCCTTCTACTTATAGAGTATATCTAATTCATAATCTCTGCTTTTTTGCTGAGGCATTTTGAATTGCAAATATAACATTGTACTTCTGCGCATACTCTAAGAATGAAGATATTCTATCCTTGGACCTATCACATCCAAAAAAAAACTAGTCAGTAGTATCTAAAATTAAGCTCATTGAATCCACCCCAAGTTGTCTTCAAAATGTTTTTTCTAGAAAAATCTTTGCACTAGTTTTTCTTTTCTTTTCTTTTCCT